CACACGCAACACGAACGTTGGCACGATACTCATTAGTGGCAACGTTGGCGCAACGCTCATATAGCTGCCGCTAACGTTGCGGCAACGTCATATCACACGACACGAGCGGCAACCGTTTTGCCCCACACCATGCATACGTCGCTAGACCGGCGCCAACAGCTTGCACAGCTCTTCCCACGTCACACCGGCACTTACGACACACCACATCGTCATCATTGCCCACTACAGCGGCTTTTGCTTGCTCTAGCGAGCACACCACACGCACAGGCGTGCCACGTCAGTGGTTTCCCCCCTCACACACACCTCGGCCCCGCACACGCACTACGCACAAGAACAGTCTGTTTGGTTCTCTCTCTCTACACCACGCCCCCGCCGCCCGTCACTGCAACGACACACACACAACCCGCCCGCAGCGCACGAAAACGCCCCAACAGCACGACCACACACACATCATAACGCACACGCCCACACACACACACACACACACACAGCCACCATACATACACAGTCACGCGAGTCGAGATTCACGCGCACCACGCACAACGCAGCGACACGGCACACAACACCACCCACACACAAACACATCGCACACACACAGGAATACCACTCCACATCCATCCACACACATACAGTCCTCGATTCACGCGCGCCGCTCGAGGTCGCACCCGGCACAACCACACGCCATCAGCGTCCACGCATCCACGCACACACGCACACGCACAGACACACACGCACACACACACGACGCGCGCGCACCGCACCGCGCGCGCACACACACAGCCCTCTCGGGCGAGCACACACACACACACATAACACGCAACGCGCTCACGCATCACACTCACACATACACCACGCGCTCCACGGGCTGTCGTCACGGACGCAAACGCAGTCACACACTCGTCGCTCTCTCTGACACACACACTACCAACACGACACCATACAGCGCAACGCGCACTAGCGAACGCGGCTCGCCTGGCTACCCCTCCTGTTCACGTCGTCTCAGTCCAGGAGTTCCCTTCCCATCGCGCGTGTGGGTGTGTCCGGGTCGTCAACGGGCACACGCACCATCAGCGCGCCACACGCACAGACACACCACACACACACACACATCGTCACCGCCAGCGGGCCGTTCCGGCGGCCGCCGGCGGCGCGCACAGCACCGCGCACACCGGCACGACACACACACAACACAGACACACCTGTGCACACCACACAACAGGCGTGCCCACCGATGGCCGCACACACACGACCACACACACACACGTTCCGTGACAGCTAAAGCAGAGCGCTTGCAGTCGTATTGTCTTGCATGTGCCTTGACTTCGCATGCTCAACGCGCCGCTTGTTTCCATGTTCGGACACATTATATTATAACGCAAATAGTCAATCGCACCGGGATGTATAGATTTTGAAAAGCTCAGAACTTTACTTCTTGGCTACATTCTCAATAAAATTCTTCTGCACGCTATAGTCTTGTATATAAAATTAATTAATCACAGCTACCGAAAAAGTAGTGACGCCTGTTATCTGGCAGAAAATTCTCATTCAAAGAATTCGAAGAGTATTTCAATGGCTTGTTGTCGCGCAGACGCGTTCTCTTCTGGCGGGGATGCACAAGGTTCGTTCGCTAACAACGGAGTTTGCGTCCGTACCTGGACGAGAGCGGCCAGAGGTGTCCCATAGGAACCGATTCAAAGCAACAGCAGTAACACTGTAACACAGTAGAGGGGCAGTGGTTTCTATAACTTTTTTACCTCCGCCACGGAGTGGAGTGGAGGTAATGGTAATCGGTCTCGTGTGTGTGTGTCTGTGTGTGTTAGTGCACATTGTGTAAGCATGTGATGTGTGTTGTGTGTGTGTGGTGTCCAGTTTCCGCGCGGGCCGGATCGATAGCGCGTCGAGTCAGCGAAGCGGGAGGCGGCGCGGTCGGATAGACGCGTGCGAGTCAGTGAGCGGCTGAGATTCAGCAGCAGGCAGATGAGTCAGCGCAACGCACCAGCCGAGCGGCGAGTTCCAGCGAGCGCTCACCAGACGAGCGGTGGATCAGGCAGCAGGCGAGTCAGTCTAGCAGCAGCCTACAGGCGAGCGGCGTAGCGCAGCGTCGTAACACATACATGTTCACAGTGCTGGCGGAGGTATGCACTCTCCGTGAGTGCCCTCTGTCTAGTTGAGTCATGGACTCCTTTGAGAATCTGGTGAACACTAAGGACCCCTTCCCAGAAAAATGCACATAAGCACATAAACGCCATCTTTTTTTGCGCCTGGTTCACGGACCCCCTGAAACCCATCCACGGATCCCAAAGGGGTCGATGGACCACAGATTAAGAAACCCTGCAGTAGAGCATAGAGATCTTCAACAGCACCTGCCGTGGCATGCGGAGCGCATATCATGGTAGTGTTTTGAGATGGTGGTGAGGGTGAAGGCGGCGGTGCCGGCACTGGTTGGATTGTGTCTGGACGGATCGTGTTTGGATGGACTGAGGTGTGGATGAATTGTGTGTGGTTCGATGATGTTTGGTTGGACGCTGTGTGGATGGACGGTGTTTGATTGGATGCTGTGTTGGTGTATGGTGTGTGTGGATTTGTGGATTACTGGTATGTGGATGGATGGTGTTTAGATGGATGGTATGTGGACAGATGGTGTGTGAATTACTGGTATATGCATGGACAGTATGGAGATATATGGTGGCCTTGCCCAGGCCACGAATAAAGGGCAAAAATAATCACATGATGACATCTGTGGTGTTTTATGTGACTGCCATGTAGGGGAATGCCATTATCTAAATCAGGAGTAGATAATAGGGATATTATCTATCATTATTATCATTTATTATTATCATCTATCATTATCATTATCATTATCATCACTATCATTATCAATTATCATCTATTATTATCCCTATTATCTACTCCTGTCTAGTATACAAACGGATCCTCTAGCGCGCAGTCACTGCTGCCGCCATCTGGCGTGTGATGTAAATATATCAGCGAACCGGATAAGCCGCGCCTTTAGGGTAGGGCGAGGACGATTCTCGTGTGACAATGAACTGACATTTATATATATATATATATATATATATATATATATAACAGTATTGCAACCTTTTCCTTGGGTTTGCGTGTAAACTTGCTGTTATGTGCTTGGCGGAATATGGAATACACGAGTCCTCACGCTATACGTGTATTAGTGCGTGATACACGTGTGTTAGTGCACGCTACCCGTGTGTTAGTGCACGCTATACGTGTGTTAGTGCACGCTATACGAGTGTTAGTGCACGCTATACGTGTGTTAGTGCATGATACACGTGTGTTAGTGATCGCCGGTCTGTTCACACTTGTAGGTACGACGGCGTGGGGTGTCGCTTACTACGTTAACGACATTCTTATTCCCGAGCTGGTGCTGAAGCGCGGTGTGACGTACACGTTCGTCGTGCAGACGGGAAACAATGCGAACTTCACGGCCGAGTATCACCCCGTCTACATCACCGACGATCCGAACGGCGGCTACGTGCAGCAGACGAATTACGTGAGTGCGGAAACGCGCACGCACACACGCACGCACGCGCGCAGATGCACCCTCACGCCACACGTTTAAACCAAGCTAACAGCAGTGGCTACACGGTGAAATGTACACTTACTATTTGTCAACATTTACAAATTGTGTGTAATATAGAAGGATAACTCTTTGCTGCCTGACTTCAGAATGAGCTATTTCACAATATTTGTGCCACCAACGACACAATAATATTGCACAACCTTCAATAAATAACCACTGAGTTTTGATTCCGTCGGAATATTGCGCAAGTCAACATTTTCCTTCAATATTACCCACTAACGATGAATAATATTGTCAATATTCATTATTGACAATATTATTGTCAATTATATTGTGCGTGTATGGGCCGTACAGTACGGCGAACCGTAATAGGAAAGATGATTCTTATTATTGAGCCCCAACCTAAAAGGTTTTATCTCTAAACCATTACCAGACACATCCGTAACATCATACCCTGGCTATGTCTGCGCGTGTTCTAAGCGGGCATACTCCCTAAATAACTTTACCTATCAATTTTACCTACAAATACGCTTGCAGTCATACTACATCGCGTACGGCATCGGCTCCGACGGGCGCCCCCTGGCGGATGCTACGGGGACGCTGTGCGAGTGGCAGACAGATGGCGCTCGCTCGCCGGACTTCTACAGCACGTTCGATGCGTACAAGGAGCAGAACCTGAGACTAGCGTGCGTGCAGCCGCAGCGTCAGGGTGCCTTCAAGTGGACGCCTGACGCTTCCACACCGTCCGAGCTCTACTATCAGGTGAGCACGTACGCACGCACGCACTCACGCACGCACGCACGCACGCACGATCACAGACGCAAACCGACGTCGCGCGTGAGAATGACGTCACGCGTTTTGCGCCGCACGTGAAGATTACGTCACGCGTTTTGCTTCGCGCATGAAGATTACGTTACGCGTTTCGCATCACGTGTGAGTGTTACGTCACGAGCTTTTGTATAGATTGGTCGTTATTAGACTGGCGTTCTTACCATGATTGGTATTGTGAGTGTTATCGTATACGTTGTTGTTGTGTTGCCGTGTGCTGTCGAATGCGTTGATGTGTGTGTTTTCATGTGTTGTTGAGTACATTGGTGAGTTTTTCATGTGTCGCGGAGTGTTTTGGCGTTGTAGTCGAGAGTTTTGGTGTGTGTGTGTGTGTGTGTGTGTGTGTGTGTGTGTGTGTGTGTGTGTGTGTGTGTGTGTGTGTGTGTGTGTGTGTGCGTGCGTGCGTGCGTGTGTGTGTGAGAGAGAAAAAAGAGACAGAGGACGTGTACGTATGTGTGTGTGTGTGTGTGTGTGTGTGTTTGTGTGTGAGAGAGAGCGATAAAGAGAGAGCGCGCGCGTGCGCGTGTGTGTGTGATAAAGAGAGAGAGAGAGAGAGAGAGAGAGAGAGAGAGAG